CATTGGAACTTCTGTGAAATATCAGTCTATGAAACATAGATGCTATGAAGTGTTAGACCAGGATTAGCTAAGTATTTATTCATATTAAAATATATTCTTTCTACAAATTGTGGATACATATCTGAATTACCAGTCTTAATATGTGTGATTTTTAGGATTAATGGTCTTAAGGGATGTAATAAAGTAAAAAGTTTTTGGAATATGTTCTTTGTATTTAATATGTATCATGACTCTAAGATACCTGAAAATGTCCCATCTGTGTACCATTGTGGAGATTTCCCTTTACTGCCTCTCCAATAGCCACAACAAAAAGTGAAAGGAAATCTCTCCAAACTGAGGGAAATCGCTGGTTGTCACCAGAATTAGTGTTCCCATTAGATGATTCCCCCTAATCTTGTGCTGGGGACAACCCAGAATTTGGGATTTTCTTTTACTTTGCCTTTCAGTGATAATAGTAAACAGGACAACTAGAGAGGGTGAATCTTCATAATGGGGGTACAGGCATCAATAAAAACATGAAAGAGCTTCCAATCCCTCTCCAGTCTATCCAAAACTAAAAATGAAGCTAAGGCTAAATGTAGACATATGTTCTATGAATCAAGTAAAGAATGTGGTAAACTTTTGGCAAATGCCCTACATAAGCAGTGGGGCTCCAACTACACCCACATTAAACTTGTGTAACACTACCCATCTTCCAAAAGAAATCTCTCAGGTCTTCAGAAGCTACTACAAATAATATAATTTGCAAACAATTCTCTCAGCAGGCACTACAACTGGCAAGCTAGGACAGATTTGGGTCTAGATTGCCTCCTTTAACTGCTTGGCACCGAGTGCATGCAAATATACAGCCTCTATGTGGCTGGGCCTTGATGCCGAGGGGCCGCAATCATTGCATACCCAATGTAAACAACAGATGTGAGGACAGCATGTACCCTGCGCACTACCAACACATTTACTGGCACCTCATGGAAAAATTCCGATCACTGCTTGCGGCTGGGAATTTTCCTAATATGTGACAGTCGTGGCAGTCACATGACCCTAAACCCCCCCGCCCCCACCTCCCATTGTCACAAACCCATTAAAGGGCTGGGAGGCACCGGTGCCAAGGGGTTAAGCTTCCTAAGTTGAAAACGAAAAACAGAAGATGTTAGAAGCCCCTATTACAGCTGAGGATCAGTCACGGGTGATGTCAAACACTAAGCACATGAAGCCTCTGAGCCAGATGGCCTCCCATGATCGTACTATAAACAATTCCAGGGACACCTAGCTAATCATGTTTTAGCGGTATGCCACTCCCTATCCGCTGATAACCACCCACATGCTGATTTACTCCATACTCACATTACAGTCCTTCTGAATGAGGGTAAAGATCCTAAGCTCTGTGCCAACTACCAACCAAATATCTTTGTTAAACTTTGACCTTTAAACTGTTCTCAAAGATATTGGCTTTGTATCTCAACATGTATGCCTCCACCAACTCTTACACAACAGCCAGGTGTGCTTTGTAGAAGCAGAGAGGATAGGAATAAAATTACAAAAAGTAGACCTTGTCCACTTGGCATAGCAGGAAGCACAAAATCTGATGCTCTTATCCACAGATTCTGAAAAATCAATTGACCATGTCAATTGGAATAATAAGGAAGGGTCTCAGGTATATAGATTTGGGAGATATTATGCTACCACAAATCCTTGCCATGTATTCTAGACTGTCCACAAGGGTACAGACTAACAAAGCTTTAGCATTATCAACAACCAGTCTCCTCCTCCTATAAAAATGCATGAAGCATAAAAACACATAAAAAACGCATGTAAAAACAGGCAAAAACATGCTACAAGAAGCACATTGAAAAGCACATGATTATACAGCACTTTTGTGAACCTGGGTTTACCCTCTGTATATTCTATGAGAATCTCATTTGTATAAATGCAATATAACCCCTCCTATTCCTACAGTATTGCACAGGAGACAATCAATTAGATCTGTTCAGTTAACAGGAGGAGAGCACACTATACACATAAAACTGCCATCTGTGACAGCTACCAAAAGCAGGGTACAAACTCTTGACATTGTGGTATAGAGTTCCAAACACCCTGCATTCCTTTTATCCATATACAGTTTGGACCCTGATACCAATAATATTGAATATACAACATAAGTAAAATCATAATCAACTTATATAAAATGTAAATGCACAGTGATGAATAAATAATCAATCCATATTATATCTATTTGGGACTTTATTCATCACTATTCACTTGCACTTTATATAAGTTGATTATGATTTTATATATGTTGTATATTCAATATTATTGTTGTCACAGACCAATTTGTATATGGTATTGTATTTCTGCCTAGGAGGGCTGCTGTGTTTTTATTAATATACCCTCCTTTTTTTGTGCACTTCTTTGGATAATCTGTTTGTTTGGGATATATTTTTTTTAAATTATGGTTTTGTTTATATTTGAACTCATTTTTATTTTCACCTAGGAGGGCAACTGGGTGTTTATTATTAGTCCTTCCATTTTTTCCACTTTTTCCACTTTTGATTTATCACTTTATTTTTTCAATTCTTGAGGTTACCATTGTTTTTCTTATTTTATTCATCTATTATTACCCTGAGACTGCTGTGCGCAGGGCTCAGGCGGGTGTTTATTTTATTTATTTTGATTTTGGGTGGGGAGTTTGCTATGTGTTTATACATTTTTATATTTTTTTATATGTGTAGTTTTTTATACAGTACTTACATTAACATTTATTTACTGGAGGTTTCCTATTTTAAAAGTATAAATGATGTAGTTTGCTTGAATTTCAGAGTACTATTGCACTTAATAATTTTGGAAAATGTAGCAGGATAAGCAAACATTTGCATCTTTTACTTTAGAGACAGGAATCAGGGCTACAGTTTTAATTGGTAATGGTCAGTCAGCTATGCTAATAGCTTGGACAAAGGTGTGTCATATGTAGATAGACATGTGCAGTGTGACAGTTCAATACTGAGAGGTGTACCTGGACAAAGTCTCCATTCATATGTTAAGTGTGCTGAAAGTGTTCAATACACATTACCTTGTGTTCTGTCATTTTCAGGGTTAAATTCAGCATTTATTAACTTTATATATTTTATTACTATATATTCCTTGCATTTACACGCCTATAAGTTTATACACAGCTGCACATGATGCACTGCTCTCCTTGCATTTTGAATATTTTTTTGGATAGCACCTAGTGCTCTTGTGTAAACAGAATGCTATTGTGTATGGGGAAATTAAGTATTTCCTGCTGATCCTCACCTTCCTACTTCAGTCCTTTGTTCCCATGGGAAGGTAATACTAAGTAACAGTCTGTAACAAGAGATCTCAGCTGTCGGGAGATAGTAAAGAAGTCATATATTGCAATAACCTGGACAGTGGTAGGATCTCTGATTTTATTGGGATCTTAAAGTGGTTAAGCCTTTGTGCTCTGTCTGATTCATATTCAAAGGGCAGAACAGAATTCAGGTAAAGTAACTAAAACTGGCCCTACACAATGTAGAATATTGTTCAAAAAGTTTCATTTAAGGAGCACTTGTTTGATTTTCCAATGATTAATGGTGTCAAATTGATGTTTGTTTCTGACCACAGTGATGAAAAAATTTAAAAGGGCAAGGTTGAGAAAAACTTTCTTGAGCTAATGCAATTCTATTTGTTAATGCGGTCTTCATTTTCGAAAAATTGTGCATTGAACCTGTTTAAGAGTACATGGCCATAAAAAATGCAATTCAAAGCACTTTTTGTTTATGAATCTGAATGCAGGTATATTATTTTCAAGGGGAACATGCACACAAGTGCGTAAACATGCATTGTGTCCAGACCCATAAACAAAAAAACCAAAATCTGCATCTGAAGGCAGGCATTTTATGCATGTGTGTGTATACATAGGGCTTGATTTGCTAAAACTGGAGAATGCATAATCTGGTGTAACTCTGCATAGAAACCAATCAGATTACAGGTATTTTGTCAAAGCTTAATTTAAAAAGCTGAAGTTAAAAACCAATTGGCTACAATGCACAGCTGCACCAGATTTTGCTCTCTCTAGTTTTAGTAAATCAATCTCATAGATGCAAAAAGTAAATTCTGGAATGTAAAACAGAGCAAGAGGATAAAGAACTAAAATGTTATGTATTTAAATGCATAGGCATTTATGAGTTTAAAGGCATCTAAACATTATTATAATTTACACGGGAACTTCTGTGAAAAACCCTTGCCTATATGATCAGTAAAAATCTTATGGATGTGTGCATGTATTGTAATGTGCATGGAGTTTTATTTAATTAGCAGGTCTGGGAAAAAATTTAAGTGCTTCAAATGAAATTAGTTGACTCAGTGATGGCAAGAAAGAAAGTTCTGAGAAACAATTTTTCTACGAACATCCAAATGAAAATCTAACTGTATATACCTAGCTTAAGGTATTTCATTGGTTACATTCTTTTACTTAGCTAAGTTTTTCCTTTTGATGAATTCAGGGAAAAGGAAGAACATGATTTCCTGCAGAGTTTTTCTATAAGACATTACCCATAAGTGACAGGAAAACATGGAAGTCCATTTACCTAGACACCTCTTGTTTTTAAGCTGTAGATTTGAAATTTTAATTCTGCCAGGTGTTAATTCCTAATGAAGGCTATTACACTTAAAGCAGGTTATGGGGCTTTGGGACACACCTCTTCCTTATGGCACCTCTCCTTTTCCATGTAGGTGCAAACATTTAGATATTTACATACACTCTCACTTAATCTACAGGGCAATTAACCTGAGAAGCTTCTGAAAACCTGGAGGAACATTCACTGGCCAATCAGCAACAACAGTAATGAAGATCAAAAGAAACTAACCACCAATCATGACACTCTCAAGAGTAACTGATCTTCTGTATGGCATCAGCTTTGGTTTAGAAAGTCAGAAGACTCCAGGCTTGTGGATTGTTGGAAGACTGCAGGCACTAGTGTTGTCACTGAAGTTGGCACTTAGACATGAGTATCAGCGGAACAGAGAGCTGTAGCAAGAACGTAGGGTGCAGGATGGATCATCTTCTCACTGCTGTAGAAAATGAGCTACAGGCTGGCAGTGACAAGGGAGACCCAACAGAGAGGGAGCTTAAAGTTACATTAGAGGAAACCGATTTATGGTTAAGATTCAAAGAACTCACAAATGAAATGATAGTCACCAAGAATGGCAGGTAAGTGTTCTGTCAAATGTATTCACATGTGTCTAGCAACTGAACTATTAATTATAATATTTGGATGTGTACGGGAGATAAGCATCTTTGGGATTTTTTCCTTTACTATATATATATATTGGATAGCAGAAAGGGTTGTTTGTCATAGTACTTTTTATATACTTTACTTGGTTTTTATCCATTTGTTAAGGTTAATAAGAAATAGATAAAATCTACAGCTAGAATATAAAAAATGGGACATAAATCAAATCTGTTTTCAATAATTGATTTGGCAATATTTCTCCTTAAATGTGTTGCTTCAGTAGAGTGAGAATTTGAAGCTCTTAGGAACCTTTTCATAGTCCTGTTCATTTCCTTTTACATCTAGAATATTGTACTGATTTATCCTATTTTCAACAGCCCTTATATCCTCAGCATTTTTTACTTCAAGAACATAAATAAGGTGTAATAAAGTATGATACAGATTGGACTTTAGCATAATAAAATTAATTTAATTAAATAATTAAATTTAATAACCATATTGACTTGACTTGAACGTTTTCCCCTCCTAAATTTTGTTTCATACATTTTGATTGAGATTAAGTTTAAGGACAGTTTCAAGATACAAACAGTACTGTATCTAGACCAACAAGTGAAATAGAGATGTGTCCAGTGTAACAAAATAACAAAATTTTGTCAGCAAATTGCCGCCCCCGCCATAAATTCTAATGTATTTATTGCTACTTCAGTAGTTAGGTGACATGCTATCCGTAGATGAACAAACAATTGTAGTTCAAGTTTTTTGTTCTTTAGACATCTTGGCAAGTTCTGGGTGCCACCATATCTATTACATCCAATCTCATTGGAGACAAGTTAAGGCTTATGGTGGCCATACATGGAACAATTTTATATATGATAGTATTTTCGATAGATTTACTGTCTTATTGGAAATACGATAGAAATATTGAAACGTTTGTTTGATGGGTCTTACAACTGATGATCATACTGAATTATATACTTTCCTGTGATTGGATTTTCTGTTTGGATCATGCAGAATAATTTCTAATAAACTGGTTTTGCTTAAAATTGATGGATGGCAAAGTGGGGTAGATTTACTAAAACTGGTGTACTCAGAATCTGGTGCAGCTGTTCATGGTAGCCAATCAGCTTCTAACGTCAGCTTGTTCAGTTAAGCTTTGGCAATGCAACCTGGAAGCTGATTGGTTTCTTTGCAGAGTTGCACCAGATTTTGCACTCCAGTTTTAGTAAATAACCCCCACTATGTGTCTCTTTGGTAATTCATGGAACAGTTAATAATATTCCATCCTCTGAAGAATGGTGTGATCAGATTGTTAAGTTTATGGTCACCATTACACCCAATTATCAAACTCAAAAATATATCAATGTGATGTGCAGTAACTAAACTCATGACTAAAATGTTACTTATTGTGATATATCTTGTAAACAGTAAATATATGAATGAGAATGATAGGTTAAATGCAATAGATGTGCACCTTTTAATGTTTTTGGGTGGAGTGGGAAAGGGTTAGAACCCCTGTCAGGTATTTATTGCTGTCTATGTCCCCATTAGGGAGATTTTCTCTTGCTATACCAGGGCCAGGTGAGAGGTTGTCAGAGGTACAGTAACTAAAGATAACTCCCTCTAATGTGGATAGAGGCCACAGCAAAGCTATGTTTTTAGAAGAGTGGAAATAGTACCTCTGTAAGTTATTATTGTACTGTATCTTCTTACCTTAGTGACTCCCCTCATTTCTTGTCCCGTTGTCACAGGGATAAAAAGTGAAGGGAAGTCTCCCAATGGTGATACAGACATCAATAAAACCTGACAAAAGGTCTAACCCTTCCCCATTCTATTCAAAACTTGGAACAAAAGTTTTGGCTGGAGTTTGACTTTAAAGGTAACCAATCACCATAAAATGTGTACTAATGTGCTTTAGTGCACTGCAGGGTGTCTACAAATACATGTCTTTCTTGAGAGAGTGCTTCTGTGTGTCCCACAGACCCAGAAACGTATTGCTATAGGTCTCATACAATAAAGTTCATTAAGAAATGCATTAAAAGTGTACAATTTTCGAGTAGAGTTGCTTCTTGCTTTTCACATTATTCATACAAATTTCATCATGCGCTAAAGTTCACACTGCCTTTCTGCATGGAAAAAATACAAAACATATTTTTTTGTACTAAATAACGTGTGGTATAAACTGCCAGGGAATTAAATTTCATGCCCAAGTAACATTAGCACGTGGAATGACAACCAGCAAAGTGCATACCACTACCAGGGCCCCAAACTATATCCAGAAAAGTCTTTCCAGCTTCACCAAATTTTTCTTGCAGAAATAAATCACAAAGAGCAGCCAGGTCAGTGCTAATAGTAATAAAGTGTCTGATCTCACAACTCTTTGTGCTTAACTAAGAGATATGTATGGAAAATATACTTTTCTCTGAAAAAATGCTCCGCTGATAGAAAAGGGTGTACCCTGTTTATACTTTCTCTGGGTGAGGATCAATTAGGCAATGGATGCCATCTTCAGCTTAAAGTGCTATTTATTATTTATTACAGGTACTTATACAGCGCCATCAATTTACGCAGCACTTTACATATATATTGTGCATTCACATCAGTCCGTAACCCTCAAGAGGTGTACAACCTAAGGTCCCTAACTCACATTCATATAATAGGGCCAATTTTAGACAGGAGCCAATTAACCTACCAGCAAGTCTTTGGAGTGTGGGAGGAATCCAGAGTACCTGGAGGAAACCCATGCAGGCACAGGGAGAACACGCAAACTCCAAGCAGGTGGTGCCGTGGTTGGGATTTGAACCAATGACCCTAGTACTGCCAGGCAGAAGTGCTAACCAATTAGCCACTGTGCTTCCTATATGAAACCCAAAACCAAAAATATAACATATTGTAGCTCTCTCCACTCTGGATGAAGGAGCACATTTGCACAGCAGCACTGTCAAAGGGGAAAGGGGAGTGTTAATTGTACTAGTCAATTTAGATACACTAAACAAATTGAAGCCAAACTCCCGCTAACACTTTATAAGCAGCTAAAGCTACAATTTTATTCTTTTTTGGGTTAAAGGTTTTACGAGAATAAAAAACGTTGATTATTGTAAGCATGGTAAATGGTTTGTCTCATTCCTCTAACTGCTACATCTGCAGGAGAATTAAAAAAAAACAACAGACTTACTGGCCAGATCACCAGGTGAAAAAAAAAAAAAAAAGCTTTAAAGCATGATGGTCCTCACTGCAAGTTTCCTAAATAAGCTTCTATTGCTACCAGAGCAATTTAAATATATTCCAATCCCAGTGATTCTTTGCAATTCTCTAGACAGTGAGGGGCTGCCATCAGCACTTGTGCAGCATAGCAAATATGTCTCAGTTCTAGATTTAGCTGCAATTATACTCTGCATACTGGGCCATAGTGTGGAGATTCACCCTCATCCTGGTGAGTACTGTTTCCAGTACAGAAAGTGAACGAGAATCCAAAAACTTTAGAGCTGTCACAGAAACAGGAACTGAGAGTAAATCTTCCAGTGACAATTGTCTTAAAAGAGGATCTCATCTCATTTTGCAAATCTTTCCTCTTTCTTGCCTTTGTGTCCCAGCAAAGGGAAAATTGCTCATTATAACACAGTAAAAACCAGGAGTATTAATAGTTCTAAAACTAAGGAAAAAAAATTGAACTTTACATATGCTTGAATGCGTATATACATAGATCAAGAGTTCTGACTTTACTGCTAATTAATCTACATCTGTGACATAGGAAAAAATGAAGCCAGTGGATCAATATGGTGGGAAGCCAATTAGCATTTTCAGAAGGAGAAAAGCAATGGCAACGTATGCAACAGCACAGGTCCTATTTAAAGGGGCAGTCAATCTTACAACTTTATATTATTTACAAAAATTGTATTGTGGTGTTAAATTGGATGCATGAAGCTTTTGTGATACTTTTTACTTGCTATTCCTAAATCAGTGATGTTTCACATGTAGGGGTTCATTTACTAAAGGAGTAGAGGCTGTTCAATTAACATGGTGAATAAGTTAAAGCTGTGTTCATATGTTCACTTTGAATACCCAATCAAGTTTGAGGACAAATAAAAATAAACTGGAATAGGTGAATGAAGGGAACACTAAATTCAGCACTGCGAACAATAAATGGTCTCTTTTCCTGTAGTTCATCACTTGCAACCATTATAATGGATCCATTTGGATCAGGTAAAAACTGTGTAAAGTTTTCATTGATGACAAGATTTCCAATGATTTGTTAGGCAGGCCACTTATTATGCAACTTTCTTTCCTTCAACCAAGGGTTGAAGGAAAAATAAATTCTCAATTTGTCCATCAAAACAGTCAGTGTTGATGAAGGAATCTCTCCCATGTGCTATTGTATTCCGACAGTGGGAAGTTTCCTAGCTGTCAGAATACAATGATCACTGCTGGCAGCTATAGCCGTGGCAATAAACGTACAAAAAAAAACCCCAAATACTCCCCATTCATAACTTTCCTTTTTGTCCACACTTTCCTTCTCTTTCTCTGTTTTCTCTCTACTCCACAAGTGTTCTGATGTCAGGCCTTAGTCCTACCAGTGGCCCAGAGATACATCCCAGTATTTGCGATGGTTTAAGCAGGGCTCTGTTGGGACATTGATCGCAGTATACCAGTTCTGGTATCTCATCTCCAGTTATTACCGTTTTCCTATCAACAAGTTGTAGGTTTTTGTTCATTCATTTGTGCATGGCATATTGACCTAAATATCCCTGTGTCAAGGGATCTGTATACAAATGCTGTTTGAATGTATACTGTTATGACTGTACTGAATTTTCTGTCAAACTCTTTATGGAAAAAAAAAACCCAAAGAGCTATTTGTATTGAAGTTGATTGATAGATTGACTTCAGTACAATGAGCCTCCCATAGATTTTTTTAGAGAAATTTGGGTGTTTCCTGCTGAAGCTTCCGAATTTTGATCCATCCATGGCTAGCTTTACTGGCACTGGAAATTGAGGGAAAGTGATGCAAACAACAATTAAACTATTTTTTAGTAGAGTGGAGAATTAACAAAACTTAATTTAGGCACATAGTACTGTTTGTGATGCAAACAGGCTGTTACCAAGACAGGCAGTGAGAAGAGTTCTCTTCAATGGGGATATAGGCTCCAAAAATACCTGACAAAGCTTTTCTTTCCTACACTTACCAAAAAGTGGAGCTGGGCTTTAAGATTCTATTAATCAACCCCAACAACATATCACCAATTTGCAAATAGAAGGTTTATAATGAAATGAATGGTACTAATAAAAACGTTTTACTATGCTCACTTGCACAGCACCCCATGTGATCAATTCACAATTGCTTTATAGCATGCTACAGAATAAATAAGTAAATAAGAACATGTTTGGATCATTGAAGAAACATTTCCCATAATTTTATGTGTAAAGAATCTTAACTCTGTTAGTAAATTAATAATTACTCGTTTAGTAAATTGACTAGTTAAATAATGATTTAATGCAAAATATTTCTAATTTCACACCTATTGGACATATATGTTTGTCGGCTTGAACAAATTCATATGGAAAACAACATGATATAAAATATCTCATACTTTGGAAGTAAAGCAAAGCTTTAAAAATATACATAACAGGTTGTTTTATTATTTTTAAATAATAATAATTTACTTTAAAAATAAATAAGATCTAGAGTATATGAATTAAGGCTGATTATTGTTTAATAGGATTATACCTGAAGAGCAATACTGTAGCATCAGCCAACCAAAGAGCAGCTGTATGCAGTTTGGTTGGACTACAGAAAATTGATTTCTAATTTGTTGCACTGTCTGCTATACAAAAATACACTTTGTTTTTAATTGTTCAGTTTATTACAGTGAATGATATATTACTGCAAATCCAAGGAAACATTCAATCCACTAGTCTTATACAATTAATATATTATAGCATAAAATAATATACAATTTTTTTTAATGGATAGGAAACAATATACTTTTTACCCCAAGTGTAATATTATGTACGAAGATAGAAGTTATAATTTACTATCAATACATAGAATAAAACAGAATTCCTGCAATTGATTTTAATTTAAAGTCATGGTAAACTTAACTTTGTGCCTTTTACCTTCAGGTAAGCTTATAATAAAGCTTCCCTGTAGGTAAAATGAATATCTCTTAAACATACACAAAAAAAAAAAAAAAATGGGCACACTCGATGGACCACTCGGCCTTTTCCTGCCGTCACCTTTCTATGTTTCTATGTTACCTTTTAGGAGATATTCACTTGTTTGGCAGCTGGTGACATCACCGACACATGCGCTCTGAAGGAACAGAATACTTATGCCGCCCTTTCAGAGTTCTGTGCTGCGGCCGTAACTCCCGTGTGCATGTGTGGGAGTGACGTCATCACGGCTCAACCATTCAAACGGCCAGAGCCCGCTAACTTGGAAGGAAGACTGGGTGAAAATGGAAGCCCTGTAAGCAGTGACAGTGCACAGCTGGAGGGCTTCATTTTAAGGTAAGTCTTTCATAATGTGCTAGTGTGCGATGCATGATATTTCCTTGCAAGGGGACCGGACTTTTTTTATGACTTTATTACTGCTTTAAGGCACCTCTCACACTGCTCATGCACCAAGGAAACATGGACATGTGACTCAAAAAGTGCACCAAAAATGCAACATTGGTGTGTTTTTTTGATGTGTTTTCCATTCATTTCAATGGTGTGAAAAGTTCCATAAGATTTTAAGAGAATGCGTTCTTTCATGCATTTTTGTTTCACTTTTTAAGCACCAAAAGCACATCATAAACTCATCATTGCCAAAGGGCCCTTATAAATACACATGTAATATTGTTAATCTATAGTTATATGACTTGTATACTTTTTTACCTGTTCATGTGGATTTCCAATAACCAACTTCTTTTTAGCTCGAGCTGAAAGTTCTATTATTTTTGTAATTTGTATTTTATTTATGAACCTATCCAGCCACTTTTATTTTATGTCATAACCATATGTGTTTTAATTTATTTTAGGAGAATGTTTCCAGTTTTAAAAGTAAATATTACTGGCCTTGACCCAAATGCCATGTATTCATTTTTGATGGACTTCGTAACTGCAGATAATAATCGGTGGAAGTATGTAAATGGAGAATGGGTACCAGGGGGCAAACCTGAACCACAGGTTCCTAGCTGTGTCTATATTCACCCAGACTCTCCTAATTTTGGAGCACATTGGATGAAAGCCCCAGTTTCCTTCAGCAAGGTCAAGCTCACCAATAAAATGAATGGGGAAGGACAGGTAATATATTACATGTACTTCATTTATTTGTGTGTCCATGTAATTTTTAATGCCCAAACCATCAAATCCTATATATAAAAAAAATCATCTAAATAATTTTTGTAAACTGAGTTTTATTGAGACATAAAAAAAAATTAAACATAGAATTACATAGAATGTAATTACAGTATCACATGACCATGATGTAGGAAAGGTCCCCTACATCAGACATAATGTACAATAGGATGTTGCAGAAAAATAAAGGGACAAGTCTAAATAATTTAGATAAATAATTTAAATAAAATGTGTGAATGCATATGAATGATGGTAAGGGTTAATTGATGATATCACAGATTTTACAAAAAATATGTATAAAGATCAAGGACAATAAAAGTGTAGTTACTTTATCATTGTTTATTACACAGAAAAATGTCAACATATACCCTAAATACTAACTGAATTAAAAAAAAAAATATTCATATGAGAACATTTTTTCAGGTTTTCTAGGCAAAGAAAGATTCCCTTTTTTATACTGTTTTCTAAAAATCTGGATTTAAAATGCGACTAATCATTTGTCTAGCTTGTAAACTTAATAAAACAGAATACAAGCTACAATTTGTTTTCTGTTAAGTAAGATGTATGTGACAAGAACTTAACTAACATGCTATGTATACACTATAGCACTAACCCTGTCCTTCAACAAATTAATACTTCAAAGAGTAACCCATCAATATTAAAAATTAAAATTCAGGGCTAACTGGTTTATTGAATTTTTTTGTAATTTATAAATGTAACCATTTTTATATTTTAGATCATGTTAAACTCCTTACATAAATATGAACCCAGGATTCATATAGTACGTGTTGGTGGACCACAGAAGATGATCACAAGTCATTCATTCCCAGAAACACAGTTTATAGCTGTCACAGCTTATCAGAATGAAGAGGTATGGGTCACATTGTACTATATTTCAGTAACGTGTAATAATTAAAAGCATTAGGGGGTTTCCAGTAATCCATATTGTTAAATATTCAAAGTATAATATTATACTGATATTTCTTTTTAAATGGATTCTAAAGGCCTTTTAAAACTTTTGTTAAATTGTAAAAAAGTAAAGTATAAATGTGTGCCCGTAAATAAAAAAAAGTTTTCATCATTCAGGGAAAAGAGGTGAGTGACCTTCATAAAGAGGGGGTCATCAGTGGGGGGGGGGGGGGGGGTTGGTTGGTTATAAAGTGGAGTAGAGTGTATAGCCATAACTTTGGGAGGGAGTGGGAGATGTACGTCTGGTGGGGTTATGGGTGTATGCTGGTGTTTAGGTACCTGAGTGACTGAAACATAAGACAAGGAGTGATTGAAGGTGTGTCAGTGCTGGTGGTGTTGGTGGACAACTTGTTAGTTTTAGGGGAATTAACTCTAAATTCAGTGGGGAAGGCAGTTACTAATTTTCTGACTTTTTTTTCATGTTTAATGCAGCCCATTTCTGCCCACGTGCCCACTGATAGAATTGGCCACAGCACATGTCACTGGCCCATTGTTATACAGTATGTAGACTGCACAAATAGAACAGTACCCTACAGGATGTTAGGCAAAACATGGACAACATGGAGCTTTGTTTGGACTGCAATGTGACTAGAAGAGTCAGCAATCCCTCCATACTCCAACGAATGCCACAGGCCAGAGTATTGGGCCATGAAACATGTGTGATCTCTGATCAAAAGTGACATTAACAAGAGTTGATATTTTCTAAGATAACCTTTGGCTGATATCTAAGAAAAAGAATGCAGAGACATGTATGGGGACAACATCATAACAAAAAGCAAACACATTAGGTATATAAAAACAGACAGAAGACAATGAAGAGAGTTCTAGAACTAGGGGGTAGAGAACAGGGTGCTGTCTTTCACTTCCTTATCTTCATCTTCAGCATGGAAAGAATAGCCTTGTATATACCTTCAGTGGGGTTACGATTTTTACAAACCTGACTTGTTTCCACTTATGTATCAGGAATGAGAATCATGACTATCGTAAATAGCACACCTGCTATTCTATAAACACTTTCTAATTGTAAGTTTTCACTTTTGGGAAACTGTCAGGATCAAGCTATGCCATTACTCAGCCTGTTTTCATTTTGACGTAATGGTTTATGAGAAGCTATGCCTTCAATCCTCACTTACCCATGAAAATTCACATGTATGTGTTGGCCACTTGGTACACAAGGCAAAACAGAAATATCTCCATAACAATATTTTCCAGACAGAGGGAGCATTTATTATAGCTCTTTCTCATTCCTAGCTCTCTTTCTAAACCTTAGGGATGTTAGTGAATAATTGTTTTATGAAGTGTACAGCAGTACTGAAAAATAGCATAAACAATTAAATATTAATAATTTGATGAATAAACAAAAGCAATGTGAACTGCTTAGGCACAGTAAATATAAATGCCTAGAATCCTTTACTTTTATTGTCATATAACATGTAAGTTAACCTCCCTGGCGGTATGATTATTTCAGATTTTTGGTGCTGAAAGCGGTACCATTTTTTTGCATGGAAATATGTATTTTTTTTATTGTAGGCTGTAATTTTTAGGAAAAACTCACTGAAATCTGTCCGAACAAGAGTCTAGTAAACATCCCGGGTATGATAAAAATTTGAAACACAAAATCATAAATTATAATTTAATAAATAATCATAAAAATAATATAAAAATAATAAAAAATTTAATTCAATAATATAATCAAACCAAAAACACTGAAATGTGAAATAGAGCGCCAAGTTCGCACATTGCTGAGCTCAGTCGCAAAATCGTTTTCAGTTTCTGATGACGAATTTCCCCCACGAATCATTATCACTCAATTCTGTAAGTGGTTCTGATTTACTATCGCTGTTCTCTAGCTGATCTAAACCGCTTTTGACCTAAAGGGACACTTTTTGGACGCCATGGACATTTCTCAGTTTCCAGGCAGAAAGAACAGACAAAATGCAGGCAGGGCGCAGGACAAAGCACTAGGGACAATATGTATGTGAAATAGGTTGAAACAGCAATGTTTTACTGTGTAAAATGAAAAAAAAAAAAATGACATTTTTTAAAATTTTTAAATTTCCCGCCGCCGGCGGCGGCGGCGCCCGTACGTCCCGACGTCACAGGGACAGGACACAGAAGCCGGATGCCGGCATCGGCCGGAGGAGATGGGACGCTGCAGGGGACACATCGTGGGAGCGCAGGGTAAGGTAAGTGAAGAACACATGCCGGAGCAGCGCCGCATGGTATTCCCGAGTGTAGCTCGGGGTTACCGCTTTTGGTACTGAAATGTTACCCGAGCTACACTCGGGAATACCGCCAAGGAGGTTAAACGATTTATGATTTGCGCATAACTTATACAGTATATACTGTATTTATAGGGGTTGATTTACTAAAGGCAAGTATACTGTGCAGTTGCTCTAGATCTGAAGGGAATCACTGCTGATTTCTATCATCCAATCATATGCAAGCAAAAATGCTGTTTTTTTTTTTTTGTTTTAATTTTCCTTGCATGTGATTGGGTATTCTTTGCAAAGTGGAACGTTACCTCATTTAATAGGCTCTGGAGCAACTGCACTTGAAGTGCACAGTATATTTGCAGTTAGTAAATCAACCCCATAATGTTTTAGCATATGTAAAAATGTAGACTTTGGATAATTTGGTAAACTGCATAGCTGGAATTAATTATTTTAAAGTCCTTTGGAACTTTGAAATGTATTTCTTTTACACTTTTTCAGATCACCGCTCTCAAAATTAAGCACAATCCTTTTGCCAAAGCCTTCCTTGATGCAAAAGAAAGGTAAAATATGAAAGCACTTTTTAAAGCTAAGTACAAGTGTGTTTTTACTTTCATTTATTTTTAGAAAAAAAAAGAACCTAGAAATCCTTATTTCAAAAATAAAGAGGAAAGTGAGCATGAAAATGCAGTGAAAGCTACAAACAATATCTAATATCTAATTGACAGGAGTGACCATAAAGACTTTATGGATGAAGTGGAAAATCATCAGCAAACCGGATTCTCACAATGTAAGTGGTTACAATGTGGAAGAAAATACTTGTTTGCATTTCTTAACAATTTAATTAATAGGTAATCGTACATAAAAACAGTAAATCACATCTAATAATTTGCACAGAGCAGTGAGGCAGTGATATACAGGACAATCAATCCATATTCACATGAAAAACATTATTTTCATTTTTGTGGTCATCTACATCTTTTTCATTTTATACAGCTTTTTTGTACATTATTATAAAATATATATTACCTCCGAGCTGCTCCACCCAAATCCTTATACGTAACAATGTCCAAGAGCCAAAACGAAATAATCCAAATAAAAGAGCAGCTAACACCTTTGTGAAAATACACCAACACAGTTAGAAATAGACTACAATTAATCAGTGCAGAGCTCTTACGAAGCAATCAAATGTGTAAATAAATAAAATTAAATACGGAATGTAAAAAACTTCATAAAAGAAATATGCAAAATATACACATCAAATTCATAAAATTAAGTAGCAAAAAATTGGTTTTAAACATTATAAGCAAAACATTTTATAAGCCAAAATGTCATTATGATATAACGTGTCACTGTACAACAAAATGATTTGCATAAAACCATAAAAAGTAATTTCATGAAAAGTCTATAAAATTCCACTGTGCCAAATTTCAAAGTGATCCAATCTCAAGAAGAGTTTGTGCATCCACTTATAATCTGAAAGTGTATTCTATGAGCAGTACCATGAGTGGGCGTTGAAACACACATTTTTTATCTGTCACTACTGGGTCCAAATTATACTAACACCACCCTGTAAAAAAATGTATTATACTTGCCTGCCTGTTTCCTGGGTATGTCAAATACCTGCTTCCCCACCACATGCTGTGAATCCTAATTCCGACTTCTAAGTCATTACAAGTCAAACATTCCAGCAAGAGAAACTATATCCTGCAGTGGGGGAGGAGGACATACTGTACCTGGAAGTGTGATACCTGCAGAGGCAATGAATTTCCTATGTGTTGGATTGTTAAGACAAAGATCACTGAATAGGTAGGTATACAGAATCTCTACCGGATAATGTATGTACTCTCCAGCGCCTCAGGAAATTCACAGCCTGTTTATTCTTTATACAGCATCTCTATTTATAGGGTAGCTTTACTAAATTTGGACCCTATAGTGACAGTCACTTTCAAGCTGATTGGGATTGATTTACTAAAGATTTTCATTTTACAAAGTGAATGTTCAATACGTATATTAAATGGAATGAGGCTTTGTTCACTTTGATTATCAAATTGTAAATAATTGTAAAAGGTACAGAACCATGTCGGAGCTCTCCTTGTATGTACCTTTCAGCTATAGTATTAGAGATTCTATAAGAAATGTTACATTAATAAAGAAAACTTCACTTTTGTTTAAAAAAATTACGCTAAAGCCCAATAATTCAAATGCTACTTCCTTAAAATTTTCCCCAGTAGTTATTTTGTCAGTACAACACTAGTGCTAGTCATGCGATTATAGCACACAGACTCTCCCAGACAGCCCTCACGGAACATGAAGTGATAAAAATGCATGTTTGAGTTTCAACAAAGCAGTGCGAGGTAAAAATCTGCAACACAATTTCTAAAATCCTTGCAATGCATACAATTAACATGGAGAGTACTGTGTTTCTCAACATAAGTAGAGTTGCAACTTTTAAGAAAGTGTTCTGCATGTGATCGGCCATCAATAGGTTATTTCTCATACCTTTGTTAGCCAGAAATCCCCTCCTCTCTGATTTAGTTTGGCTTTATTTGTATGGGATTAAGTTCCACCTACCTGCTGCATAGAACTACACTATCCAGTTGGAACCTTAGTCCATAACTAGCCGCAATCTGCTAGTCTAGTAAGGCATACTGCCTCACATAAGGAGGGATTTTTGGCAAACCATCTCAATACCTGTACCTTTTGGAATCAGTGCTTAGACAAGATTTTTAAGGTTAAAAATTTTAAATGTTTGAAAGGTACTCTTTGCGTAAAATCTGTCAAAGTCAACACACGTTTTAATTATTATTGTTTTTCTTTTTAGTAAGTAGCTGGCTGATTCCTGGGTCCAGTTCACTGTGTTCTCCTGCTAATCACCATCCTTCATTTGGGGCACCTATATCACTTCCTCCTTCTCATGGCTATGAAAAATTTACGACATTAAAAAATCACAGAGCTTCACCTTATCCAAGCCCGTATGCCCACAGAAACCATTCTCCACGTAAGTAATCCAAAAAATAAAATAAAAAAAACCTCTACATTTTAAAAAAAATTACATTTTAGAACTAAATTTTATTGAACATTACCATATATACCATTACAAGACCAGTTTCTGAGGTTGACAAAAGAGCTGCTTTGGGTGAACTGTAGATTGATGTCATAACTTTCCATTGTTGTGTAAATCTTTAGAAGACTGTTCCTAGAAAAGTTAGGGTATTTATCAGTCTTTTCTCTATTTTATGTACTTTTATGAAGGAAAAAGGAAAGAATAGATGGAATGAAAGGGAGCTATATAGATAGCACCTTTTGTCTATGCAGTTTTGGACTTCTTATCCTCACAGCTGCCAGGAAAAATCTTTTGAAAGAGATAAAAGTAGCTCTATGACCCTGATTCACAAGAATTCACAGAATGCCCATATCAGTTTTTTTAGACAGCCCTCACCAAAACAGGACCCTCATAGGAGGACAAATATATCTTTACACTCACAACACACTACAAGATAGAGAAGATCCTAGATTGTAAGCTCGAAAGAGCAGGGCCCTCGAACCCCTCATGTATTGTATTGTTTCTGTCTTGTCTCATGTTCTGTCCCCCTTGCTATTGTACAGCGCTGAGCAAACCCTTTGGCGCTATATAAATACTGTATAATAATAATAAATCTTCCCAGCAGGGACCCAGCAATTACACATTTACAGGTGTAACAAAGCTTTCACAAGCTATACACACCACAATGTGTATTTACATGTGTATATGTGTAAATACATAAATACATACACAATGTTTTAATACACACATATATATATATCCTAATTACTAGTTTGGCTTGTTTTAACAAAGACTCTGCCACTCTGAGACTCTATAGAGAAGCCATGGAGAAAATATCTCCAAAAGTTTTCCACAGTAGTGACACAAAAATATGACTACTCTTAAATATCACCTTTCTAAAGAACCACTTCAGAGTAGCTCCTTTCTAACTGTATGTCAATTTTCTAATTTTCTTGTAGCAAGTTACACAGAGAATTCCTCTGCATGTCTTCCTGTATTCCAGTCGAATGAACCCTGGCCTGGTTTACAGATGCAAACGCATAGTGGAATGTCATCAATAAATCACACCAGTGGTATTCCATCCAGTTCTTGGTATGTATTTTTACTTATGACAGATACCACCTATGAAAATAAAATCAAGAACTGTGTATGATTCACAGTATGGTGATGCACTGGAATATTTATAACGGAAGCCTGACTTGAACAACTTAATGTGATATGCTGTTATATGAGTATCTCTGAGCCATAGCAAAATTTACCAGAATGGCTGCCATGGGCCAGTGTTCAGGGCATCAGGGTTAGAAGAGGCAGCACCAAACCTCAAAAATGTACAGAGAAAACTTTCTTTTTATTTTGTTTTCCTCTTCTGGCTCCTTTGGACCTTTGTAGCTAATTTCAGCAAAACTGTCTGCAAGGGAAGGGGTGCAGAGGATGTTGGGGGAAATCAGAAATCTCCTTATATTTCAGGGTAGATGTGCCCATATTTTTGTCTCTTGTTTGGTGGGCTGTACAGCTGAAACAAGCTTTACATAAAATTAAGACTGCATGCTGCCTACAATACCACAATCTAGGAAAATGTTTTACCAAAAAATGACTTGGTATAAGGAGTGGTGATTTACCTAAAGGCATCAGCATTCTTTAGGGACACCTGAATGCATAATCATTCAAACGTTCCCAGTACAGCATGTCTAAATGCAGACCTGCCCTGAGCATACCACTAATTTTGGTATTGTATAACTCTTTTATAAAAATTTAAGTAAATGTGTAAAGTGCAGCTTTCAATAGCAGACAACCAGGTGCTGCAGTTAATTTTCAAAACCTTGGTACCTTAAGCCATATGTGTCTATGGGCTATATCTCCACTTCCATCTTTTAAAAATTCGACCCTCAATTGTTTCGAACGATTATTTTAGCAAATTCCTACCTAATTAAAATAATATGTTTACATTAATTTTGCAGTCAATACCCAAGTTTATGGTCTGTGAGTAACAGTACCATTGCACCAATATCACAAGCAGGCGGAATTGCTGGAGGCCCAGGATCTCAGTACCTGAGAAGTTCTACTGCCCATTATACCCCATATAATCAGATTGTCCCCTCACCTTCTATGGGATCTCCTTTATATGAAGGCGGAAGCACAGACATTGAAGACAACCCGTTTGACGTCACAGGACATGATAGGCTGGCACCATCATGGGCACCAGTGACCCCTCCCTCACTATGAAGAAAAAAAAAATGCGAGAACTGTTTTTCAAAGACACTTCTAAATGTTGTGACATACAATTAGAAATTGCTTTCCAGACTCTGAGCATTTATTCATTTTAATAAAGATTTAATGCAATGCAATGCTTCCAACCAAAATGAACTTGACTGCAGGATCCATGTCTTGCAATAGGTCTACCCAATCATGGAGTGAAAAACTTTTACCTTACTGTTCCCGAGGACTTACAAATAATTTGACCCCATAACTATTTAAAATAGTAAATGCATATTTATTATATCTTTGTCTTTCCTTACACATTTATCTTACTGTTGCAGAGTAAACAGCACTGAAAAACAGCCATTTTGGTACATATGTCCACTCACAGCTGTATAAAAACAGCATGGAATCAGGGGTTTTCAACATTGCTCTGTGCCTGAGCACTGCAAATAGTTATTAAAGATGGTTGCACAAAGCTTATTTTGTATTATATTGTAACATGAATCTGGACTCTGACAGACATCGTAGTAATATACTAACTAGTGAATTGCTGTATGTTCTCCTTTTAAATGTACTTTTTTTTTTCATAATGTTTTTGTTTACTGTAAATAAACTGTATTTGTCAAGATACCTCAAGCCAGCCAATAGAAGATAATAAATAATTTATTCATACTGCAAATATACATGCATAAAACACAAACTTAGAATTTCTTTTAGTGACATTATCTTTTTAAAGGAGTGAAAAATATTATATTAGCAAAGTAAAACAATGTTCACTTCAATCATCCAATCACCTGAAAGTCAATATTCTGGTTTTCAAAATTCCTTTGCGTATGATTGGGGATTTAAAGTAAACATAGCTTTACTTTCCTTAGTGAAGATTACTGCTCCTCCAGAATGTCCTTCCTTGATATACCGGATAATGTTTCATCTAGCCAAGTGAACCCGTGTTCCTTCTATGCACTCAATAAAATGCAGAAGAATAGGAAATTATTTGATTCATATAACTATATGATTTATATAAACTACAGTTTCATTGAGCAATGTGACAAATGTGCTTTTTACTTGGCATGCAACTGTTTTAACGATACCATGGATCCTTATATAATCTTTTGCTTATACATATTACATAAAGTAAGAAATAAGTTAAATTCTTTCATTATATTTAATATTAATGTAAAGTCATTATTATGATGTGACTATGTGAAAGCATAAAATGAGTTTGTGTATCTGTATGTGTCTTCCAATATTGAACAGAGCTCAGAAATTATTTAGAAAAATGTAATATTCAGAAGCAGTATCAGGTAACATTACCTGTCTTAACTTTATGTACATATAAAATATAATTTATTCATAAGTGCAATATACTGAAGAGACAAATTTATCACAAGAGAGTTATGAATATAGAGTAAGAGCTGCACATTAAATTGTCCTGCCAAAAATACATAATGAAAGGAAAAACCTTAAAAAGTTTGTGGTAGCAAAAAACAATGGGCCTGATTCAAGAAAATGCACATATGAATTAATGATTGCAGAGAGGTGAACAATTTTAATAGTGTATATATGTGAATAATGTACTATTGTCACTTTAAATTCTTTTTTGCTTTTACCATATTTAAATTTTTTTTTCAAACTTTTGCAATCTTTTTTTTAAAATCAAGTAACAATAAAATATAAAAAGATTAGAAAAACCAAAGAGATTTTGCAAAATAACATAAGGAGGTTTTCTTTAGGGTTCATGTTTTTTTTTTTTTCAAACAAATTTCATCTAAGGAGAAAATATGATAAAATTAGATTCTAACCATGTGAAAATTCACGAAAAGCAACATTGATACTTTGCGGCTGAATCAATTTTGCTAAAATCCCTTCACTCATGTTTAGTGTCCAGGAGAGATTCACAGCTGTATAAAGATTGCATGGTTTTTAATCAATCGAACCCATCTTATAAACTTGTATTGAGAGAGAAACCAATTGGCAGAGCCTGTATGGGGTTTGCAAAAGAAAAAAAATTATACACATCTAGGTGGATGCATCATCAATTCAATGCTGCATCTGTCCCCTGCCACCTGTGTACTGAGAACTGATCAATCAAACATTGCTGATCACTCAGTTCCCCCTCCGCTCTGAGAAGAGAGTGGTGACTGTCTGTCATCAGCTCTCTGCTCTGCCCCTCCAGTGCTAACTGGAGTGCCAGGCTGGGGAAGGGAGGGATCAGCTGGCTCATTCTCCTAGTGGTGCAGCTGAGAGGCTGAGCTAACTGCTGGTCTAGGCATCTAGGTGGATCCCAACTGTGAAGTCAGGAACTTTCCCATACCTGGACCAACTGAGTGACATGAGAATGAACTGCATTCCTGTGATCCATATAAGAAGTATAACCAAAACAGCATTGGCCATACTTCTCCTTTAAGAATTGTAAATATAAGTAAGCTAAACAGTTTCATTGCTTTCTCTGTTTACATGTAAATCCTTCAGCTCCAGCGTCGTGCCCGTAACAATACCCGTACATTGCTGGAGCATGAGCTGTTGTACTGGGATGATGCCTGCAGCTGAAGGCATCATCCCAGTACCATTTTTTAGAGTTGACTGTGGGTTCTCTTGTAATTTTTGTAAATTGCTATTACAAGCAGCGGGAGAGGATGCCCCCCCACTGCCTTCTGCTGCAGATTTAATGGGAGCTCCCATCCCTCTGAGAGTCCCAATCGAACAGCCGGCCCTGACACTGGCTTATCACAGAGCCGAACAAAGACCAGATTGACTTTGTTCG